TAAACTCTTTTTTTTTAACATTGAAGTCAATGGGAGATGCCTTCAAATCCTCTTTTCCTACACTTTGCGCCAAATGCTACTCCTTCCACATACTTTCAGCTAGACACTTCATTCCAACTTTCAAATGATCACAACATCTTCAGCTATTCAAAGTTTTATTTTTGATATCTTTTACACTTCTTGAGATAATTAACTTTGTTTGGAGCTTGGTAAAGAGGCTTTCTTCAGATTTTAACATTAGTGTGGATGGAGCAGCTCGTTAAGTCTAGAGTGCTTTGATCTCAAAACAGAGTGGAGGGGTGCTTCAAATTCTCCTCAAAACATGTTTTAAACTTGCCATAATTCCCAAACCCTACACTCCTCAGACATATTTTTTCATGAAAAACGTAGGAAAACCTCTCCTAGGTTGGAAAATGACAAATAATTAAGCAAAATAATTAAACAAAATGCCTCTTGAGGGCATGAAGTGACAAAAACGTTCAACATGTCTCCATTAAAGCCCATTGTAATTTCAGGCAGATATTTCCTCATAGCAGCAGCCGCACACCTTTCTTAAACTGCCAAAAAAGCCACATTATTAACCCGAAAGTAAACAAGAATTACACTTCAGATACTCAACTTCCTTGACATGCTTCACATTTTGAAATTTCACAGATATCTGTTATCGTTCTTCCACAAAACGTTCACATGTAAGAGGTTCATCTCTCATTCAGAACAATGAAGCCTTTGATCTATACATAGCTCGTTAGCTCAACTATCAACACCTGTGTTTGAACACGATGATGTCATCACTCCAACTGACAGTTCAGTTGTCTCTCTCTCTCTCTCAGTTCTCTCTCTCTCTCTCTCTCGGCAAAATTGTCAGATATACTCCTCAATGCATTATTATGGGACTCAGTGCTGCAGTTGGCTGTCTTTCATCTCTGGGTTTTACACACACAGGTGTTTGTAAACATTCATCACCACTACTTACATTTAATCCTCTCTTCTCTCTCTTCTCCTCTCTCTCTCTCTCTTATTCTCTCTCTTCTCTCTCTCTCTCTCTCTCTCTCATCTCTCTCTCTCTCTCTCTCTCTCTCTCTCTCCTCTCTCTCTCTCTCGCTCTCGCTCTCTCTCACATTGACCGGCGAAAAACTCTGCCCGGTTCCCTTGGCCCCCACCACGGTGATTAAACAGAAAGGGAACCATGACAACCATTCTTCTTCGCTGCTTTTGTGGAGGAAGTTACAGCGCCACGTACAGGCTCGGCATATGTACTGCAGCTTTTCCAGCGGTTGGATCTAAATGGAGCTGTCTCGTGTGGGCAGACACTATCCGGTGTATATTGTGTGTGGTCGGAAGCTTTTTGGCGATTGCGTTTGCATTAATCCTATGCGTTTTGCCGTATGCTTTCCCGTGGGGCCGGGGCCAAAGACAGACAGACAGACAGACAGACGTAAACAGGTATTTTGATAATGTCGTCACCATGGTAACCTTTGATCTCTGGGCTTACACACACAGGTGTTTGTAAACATTCCTTCACTACTACTTACATGTAATATCTTTATTTAACTCCTTCAGCCTAATTCCAGCTGCAGGAACCATTCAAATATTAAACTTTTCAGCACATGATGGGAAACTTTCAACTTTTTCAAAATATGTTATACTTTTTAAAATATTCAGCTTTTTAAAGTCTTTTTTTTAACATGGAAGTCATTGCAATGCATTTGAGCTGTAACAATTTGATTCAAATAATTTATCTTTTCTGCATTTCTCTGCTAAGTTCAGCAACACACTGACTTGGTCTCTGTAGCTAAAAGCAGCTACCATTCAGCTAATAACATATTCAGCTTTTTCTGCATTTTCAGCTAAATTCAGCCACAAATGTTCACAGTTTACAGCATTCGCACGCATTTTCTGCAGGAAATGCATTTTCTAGTTCTTCCAGTTCTCCGTTTTCCTGTGTTGAAATCGACCAGCTGTGAAGGTGGGGGCGGGGCTTTTATACGCGAGTAGTGAAAACACTTCCGCGTAGTCTGCTCTCGTGTATCCTCCCTTTCGTCTCCTCCCGCACCCCTCCTCCCTCACCCCTCCTCGACTCCTCCGTGTGCATTTCAGCTATTGGGACGTCCTTCAAAATGGCGTGTCTTGATCGATTTCCGGGTCAAGTCCCGGAGGAGGGGAAGAGAGGAGTCGAGGAGGGGTATTGAGACCAAGCCCCCAGGAAGTGCGCCGGACTCTGATGAAAATATTCGTGCTGGCCAAACGGCGGTACTACACTTCCTTTTGGTTGCCAGGCCCGGAAACACTTTTTCCCATTGACTTACATGGGGAAAGAGTGGTCTGTAACTCGTTGGATAATTTTTTTTAAACTAAATAAACTACCCAGTATGAACACTTGTATAGCCCTTATTAAAAACATTCGTTCCTCAAGTTGTAAAAATGTGCTAATAACGTTATTCTGAGAGTTATTTCCCTCTGTATTATGAACGCGCATCTAACCCACGGGACCGCGCCGCCCGGCACGTTCATGTGATGTGACGTGTTCAGCACCACATGAGTTTATCTTTACCCATGGATAAGAACGGACCCATATCGCCTTACTGCCAGCCCACGGAGCTGTAATAATGGATATATTGCACATGTTTGCTGTAATTCATCATTTGTAAAATATTATACTACATGGGCTGTATGATGTAAATCTTGTATTAAATAAAGTTAATATTACCGACGTAGATTAACGTCCCTGTAGCTTCTTATTGCACTTGCAATATACCATTAAAGGAGTTGAACGTTGCTGTTTGCTATTACTATAATACCACGCAGGGATAAACCAGAGTTTACAACCTTTGCATGTGGGCACAACACGTTTTGACCCAGATTAATTAGCTATACCATGATATCGCCCGAGGAAGTCGTCATACTTATACATATATAAATAAAGATATATGTGTCAAAGCTCTAATCAAATTAACAGTTGTATTAATTATACTTGTATATGTATATATATATATATATATATATATATATATATATATATATATATATAGCCTGTGTTTTATATTTATACACACAAATGAACAACCTTGTGTGTGTCAAATAACAAGTTGTATTGTAGTGTTTATTTTAGTGTTGTGTTATGCTTATCCACATTTTGATTTCAGAGCACAGGAGAATGCTGGGCACAACATAAAGCTCAAAAGTGAAGCTGGCAATGCTGAACAAAACCATCTAGTTATAATATTATTCAGCTGAAAAAGTCAAAGCTCTACGAAAATGTAATTAAAAATACATAAGCATTTTCAGGTAGAAAATCAGCATTTTATATAGAAATTCACAAAAATAAGAAATGTATACCTCTTATGGCTGGCATTGTAGAACTAGGTGGAAAAAATAGTGACAACAAATGTAAATACAATTTATATAGATCAAAAGGTAATATATATAATATTGATTGCAATTATTAGATTAAAAGATCCACCAATTATGATCAACAGGAAAGCCCTCTGAAGGCATGTTGTGGTTTGAAAAAAAGTTGAGGATGGGGTCCAGACAGTTAAATCAGGAGAGACTTCATTTTGTTTAAAGAACATTTATTGACACATGTCATATGATAAATGTTAAGTCTTTGGCGATTAGACCCCGATCCTGAAATCTTATATCTAAAGGGGGAAATGCAGCCGTGAGCATATAGGGAACCTCCCCGGGGTCTAGACACTGGTGATGATGATGAAGATCTGGATTTGATGAGGAGATGGGATGAAGAGGAGGTGTGATGAGGTCTTTGGATTAGCTCTCCTGGCTCTGGATATGATGAACGGAGGTGGGTGGAGAAGAGGTGGATGGGGAGGAGGTGGATGGGGAGGAGGCGGGCGGCAGCATGAACACCTGAAATCACAGCTGACTGCAGGAGAGAGGAGAACCATTTTAAAGTTTGGCTGCAGCTCGGTGATTGGCTGCTGGAGAATGAGGTGAATGTAATAGGTTAAAGAGAACGCCTGTGATGAGCTGATTATAAGCAGCTGCGGAGTGAATGTATACATACCCAGTCTTCCTGAAAGAACTTGCGCTGAGCTTCATTTAGTGAGTCAGACTCATGGTCAGAATGCTGGTTGGGAGGCTCAGTTCTTCCTGTTGACAGAAGATGGCACTTTTCTGAGAGGGAGCCAGCCGGCAGACACTGGACAGTGGCACACCAACAGATGAAACAGGAATCCATCTGAGAGGCTATGCGGAAAAGGATAACAAATAATGTCAGCAAGACATGAACATATATAACCACTATCATTCAATTCTGTAATTGCAGGTTTGTTAGCATGATATTTCAAACATAAATGGCCTGTCTTAGTTTAAAGCCCACTCACCACGTCAAGGTGCAGGCCACGAGTGAGGACACAACAACGATCACAAACAGTACATACACACGAGACAAAACTTACATACATATAAATAACTTACATATACAATGAACAATGATAAAGATTTAAATCACAATTGATCATAACTCAAAATACATATATTTTTATATATTACCAAGTGGTTTCATGTAGGCTACAACCCACACAAGTATCATGCTAAATTAAGCTCTGTTGCTTGGATATCACTAGATCCTGTTACATCAGCGTAATATAAAAGTACATAACGACTGATGTGTAAATTAGCATAATTACTAGCTAGCCGCTAGCTGCTAACTGCCGCCTCGTCGTTAATATCAAATCCATCATAACAACCCATTACCATGCTGTCATGAACGCGCGGTGCTGTTACGTGTACGCAAATTGACGTGCTTGATGTGAACGAGCATTTTGGGGGGCATGTTTAAAGTTGCGCATGCGCTATGAGCGCACATACGGGTACTTCTCAGGCATGCCGGGTAATCTGTGACGTTTCGCTCTCTCAAAAGTTGGGCCATTTTGTCATCATGCGCGATTGAGCAACTCTCATAGGAATGAATGAGGCCCCGCCTCCCACGCTGTATCCAGTTCTTATTATACATCCATGAGCAACTCTCATAGGAATGAATGAGGCCCCGCCTCCCACGCTGTATCCAGTTCTTATTATACATCCATGATTGAGACGAGGCTATTGTGTAGCTCCATAGAGCTCCCTATGGTTCCTTTAAGGGGCGTTCCAGGAAGTCTGCTGCGCGTGCCCGTGAGTCACGTCCGGATTGAGGAAGTGCTTCTGTTCTTATTATACATCCATGTGTTAAACAGACAGATAATGACGGCTGTGTTCGAAAACGGTGTGAAATGACGCTGTCACGATGCTTCTCGGTGTCCTGTGCATTCTATTCGTCCCCCAGGGTAAGTCATGATTTAGCTTTAACCATTTTAACTAACCCTGTGCTGGCAACATCCTGTATCCTCACTTCACCCAGGCTAACGCTAGCTAAGCAAACAGGCTCCCACCCTTAGCTCTAATCACAGCCGTGTTTAAGGAAAGAGCTGTTAGCTAGCTATTCACTGTAAAACTACACTAGCTCTAACACTATGTCCTATATTGAATCTCACTTACTTTGTTTGCACACTGTTGTCCGTATACATCTGAGTTTAACAGTTTAACCCTTCTCTTGCGTTAGGTCATACCCCCCTTCCCATGCTATTTTCGGTCAAAATTGACCGGTGTGTTTTGCACAGTGATATCTCTGGAACCCCTTATCCAATTGTGATGGTTGACATCTCATTCGAACAGTCAAAGCAGGTAGAATCAAGGGGTGACAGACAGAATGACACCAGGGGTGAATTTCATATTATTTTTGGCAGTAAGTTCAAAGATAGTGCTTATTTTACATTACTGTATATTATAAAAATGCTTGCCATGTAGGCTGTGTTTACTGGAGATGGAAATGCTTTAGTTAGTGTTGTAGCTGAGATACGTTGTGTGTGTGTGTGTGTGTGGTTGTGTGTGGTGTGTGTGTGTGTGTGTGTGTGTGTGTGTGTGTGTGTGTGTGTGTGTGTGTGTGTGTGTGTGTGTGTGTGTGTGTGTGTGTGTGTGTGTGTGTGTGTGTGTGTGTGTGTGTGTGTGTGTGTGTGTGTGTGTGTGTGTGTGTGTGTGTCACAAGAGTTGGGTTAAATTAATTTGATAAACAGCCATGCTCAATATCTGAGGTACAGAGGCTGTATCATAGTAATATATCGGATACCATGGTAATATCTGAGGTACTGACTCTGAGGCATGTATCGTAGTAATATCTGATACCATGGTAATATCTGAGGTACCATGGTAATATCTGAGGTACTGAGGCATGTATCATAGTAATATCTGAGATACCATGGTAATATCTGAGGTACAGAGGCATGCATCGTAGTAATATCTGAGATACCATGGTAATATCTGAGGTACCATGGTAATATCTGAGGTACTGAGGCATGTATCATAAGGCGCTTTCACACCGGAGTACTTTTCCCGTACTTTTCCCAGAAATAGTTCCGATAGTTCCTGGAATGTTGCGTTCACACCAAAAATATCATTTTTTTTCGGGAACCTTTTCACCCCTTTTTAGTCCCTGCTAGAGAGCGGGGACTTTCCTGGGGAGAAAAAGGTTCCAATTTCAGATTGGCTGGGCGAATTGCAAACCACAGCCCGTAAAACTCTGAAAAGTTTTTGTGAAGCCGCCATTTTATTTCCTCGCATTGGCATTATTAGCACTAGCCCAGCGCACCAACAGAGAGAGACTAACTTATGGCAACACAAAATAAAACGTGATGAGGAGGTGTCGGTGCTTCTGGCGATTTACCCGGGGCTTCGGGTGGCGATTTACTGCCACCCAAAGTCCCGGACTCCGGGTGGCTCCGGGACTTCGGGTGGCAGTATACGCCGTGAAGTTGTTTGCGGCCTGCCAGTAAACCCAAAGCAGAAGAAGAAGAAGTGACGTCAGCGGCTTCATTTGCGTAATCCTCCCTCGGGGACTTAGTCCGGTGTGAACGCGATTTACTAGATAGTTCCGGGGAAAAGTTCCGTGAACTATTCCTGGGAAAAGTACTTGGTGTGAAAGCGCCTATAAGCAGCTTTCACACAAAGTACTTTGCCGTACTTAGTGCCCAGCACTTAGTGCCAGCACTTAGTACCTCCATGGAACTAAGTACAGGCACTAAAAATGGGGGTAAAAGTTCTCGGAACTAAGTACTCTTTTTGGTGTGAACGCAAAATTCCAGGCACTAACGGAACTAAAGGAAAAAAGTACGGTAATATGTAATATCTGAGGTACCATGGTAATATCTGAGGTACAGAGACATGTATCGTAGTAATATCTGAGATACCATGGTAGTATCTGAGGTACAGAGGCATGTATCGTAGTAATATTTGAGGTACCATGGTAATATCTAAGGTACTGAGTAGGGATGGGTATCGTTAAGGTTTTAACAGTAGTACTACTACTTTTACTGTGTGTTTACCTTGTAAAAAAACAAGGTAAACTAATGGCGCGTTTCCACTACAGCGCGGAGCACGGTTTAAGAGGGCTGTGACGTCAGCGGCCCGTTTTTGGTTGCGTTTCCACTTGGCCTAGTACCGGCCGGCGGGTCCTAATTCACAGTTTTTCTGGCCTCATAAAATCGTGGGTCTAGGGCCAGAGACAACGAGGCTGAGTCGGGCTGAGTATGCTAAACTAGAGAGAATCGCTGGCAAGGGGGCTACAACTACAACAAGATGGACATATTTGACCGTGATTTAATTGTAATACACGTTTCAAAATGATGCCGAAGTAACAACATACTGATACCGGTTAGTAAAAACCATGAATTAATGCTTTGACAAGTCTGCAGACAGACGGCAGGCGAAAACCCTTTTAAAATGCGTGTTTTCTAAATGGAGATCGGCTAAGCTAACGCAGTATATGCTCCGACCGTCCACACTCACAACAACGGCCTATACAGACATAAATAAAGCAGCGACTGTATTCACCATGACACAGGCAGTCTGTGGTTTGTACTTGTTTAACTTTTGTCTAGTTTCTGAACATATATGAGGAGCTGTGAGCTCTGAGTGCTAACAGCTAACGGCTGTGTTGTTTTTCTGGGGTTCTCATTGAAGATGACGTCACGGCTCCGCCTACACTGCGTTACTATAGATACTACCCCAGTTCCTAAACTGTAATGGAAATGCGCCATAAAGTGAGCTAGTCCTAACGAGGCCTAGCCATACCGAGCGAGGCCGTGTAGTGGAAATGCGCCATAACTTAAAGGGGTCCCCGGTGTTCCAGGGAACTCACCAAGTGTCAGAAAACACAACCCTCTCTATTTTCCTCCATACCCAAATCTCTAAAAAAGGGGCTGCAACGGATCTGATAAAAACTGATCCAGATTTGAACACTGTCCTGACGTCAGGACGGTGGCGCTACGGCTATTGGGCCAACTCTCCACCTATCAGGGGAATGTGGGGTTGGGCCACGGCCGGCCATTGCCGCTCGAAAGCGCTGGAGACGCTGTAGTACATATGCCAGGCCTGTAAGTGGCGCTGTAGTCTGCCACAAAAGCAGCGAAGAAGACTTCCCGCCCATAGTTACCATGGTTACCCTTCTGTTTATTCTCCGTTGTGGCTTTTTTTCTCCCTCCCCGAGGCAAGCGTTTGCTCCCGCTGCTTTAATTCAATGCAATCCCTCCCCGTCGAGGCACTGTAATTCTCTCCGGTTAGTCCACCAGCAGATGACAAACACCCACCTCTCCGCCTCTTCCAAGGAACGAGGGGACCGTGCGGCAGAGTTTCAGTTTCTTTCGCCGGTCAAGATGTCCGTTAAAGTTTAAATCTTCCGGACAAAATTAGAAAAGTGCCGGTCAAAGGTCTTCTTTGTTATTTATTAAGCTTTAAAACAAATGAATAACGACTCTATATAATAATAGGCTATAATAAAACACGGAAGACGGAGATCTATTTTTCTCCCCCTCTCCTGACAGCCCAGCAGCTGTTCAGAGCCCGCTCCCCTCTCCTGCAGGGGGGCGTGGTCAGCTGCAGCTCACAGAATCAGCCCCCTGCAAAAACAGTGCTGGAGAACAGCCAATAGAGCGAAATGAGGCATGGCTTAAAATCATGATCTGTTTGGTATTTTGAAAACAGAAACGTATAAATATACCTTATATAGGTATGGCCCTACAATATATCATTTAAATATAGCATGATATGTCCACTTTAACAAATTGTGAACAAAATTAACATTGCTTTTTATTTAAATTTAAATAAATGATATTTCACATCAAAAGGAACAACAGTATTAAATAATGTGATAATAATATAATAATAATATAACAATATTGGGAGGGATGAAACCCTCTTTATTGGTCACACATGCAGAGCACACGGCACACACAGTGAAATGTGTTCTCTGCTTTTAACCCATCCTAGCACCAGGAGTCTAGTACTAGGAGCAGTGATGACAGAACTGTAAACAGAATAGCTGAAACTTTAACAAAATAAATAACTCGGTCACCTCTAATGATTAACCCATGTTTGTATAATTTAGTTAACTCTGTGTGTTGCTGCTAGCATACATAGTACCTGATGTGGAAACGTTACTCATGGATGGGGCTACAGCGCTACTAGAAAGACAGTCGAACCCAGTGCATTTCTCCGTCTGAATGTGGTGCACTTTTGCTAAATGTTTAGACAAATTGCTCGTGTTACCGCCCTGACATGCTAAACTCTTATTGCACTTTTGGCAACGAGCATTGTCCACATCGAGACGGGTACAGTTTAACCACACTTTGGAGCGCTTGGTTCTCTCTGCCATCTCCAACGTGTGTGTGTGTTGCATTCATGTAGCAGCCGTGTGTGTGTGTAGGGATGGGTATCGTTAAGGTTTTAACGGTACTACTACTTTTACCGCTTATCGATCCAGTCTTTTAACGGTACATTTATCGGTTCTTTTGGAGAAAAAAACTAATTGTGAACAAAATAACTCAGTTACCCATGTTTGTATAATTGAGTTAACTCCGTGTGTTGCTGCTAGCATACATAATACCTGACGTGGAAAAGTTACTCGTGGATGGGGCTACAGCGCTACTAGAAAGACAGTACCGATAAAAAGACCGATAACGTCGGAGCTTAACGGTACCACGGTCTTGAATAATTCAGCCTCGGGGCCCGTTTAATACCGGGGCTCGGTACCCATCCCTAGTACTGAGGCATTTGACCGATTTGCACGTCAGGACCGCTACGGGCCTCCACCAGAGTTTCCTCTGGCTTCGGCCGGCCCAGGCATAGTTCACCATCTTTCGGGTCCTATCGCACGCGCTCATGCACCACCTCCCAGACGCCCGCGGGGCCGGGATCCCACCTCAGCCGGCGCGCGCAGGCCCTCACTTTCATTGCGCCACAGGGTTTTTTCCTGTTCACATCGCAGCGGAGCCGGCTCTAAGCACCGAAAACCGGTGCTTACCAAGCACCAAAACATTGTCGGTCTAGAAGCAAGAACCGCATACGTCACGCTTACGTCGGAGGCGGGGGCAGGGGCGGGATCAACCTGAACAATAACATTTATGGCGATTACTGCAAATGAAAGTTGTAACAAGCAGTAGTGCTGAGCAAAGTGACTAGAACACAACCACACTCTTATTTAAAAAAAACACACTTTATAAAGTCAGGCAACACTAACCAGGCTTAGTTTGATTCTGTTTATTTGTACCTTACTTTGACCATCCGTTCGCTGTTATTGATCATTGTGGAGAGCAGGCAGACGTTTTGTTTTGTATTATAGCAGCTATCGGATGGAATCAATACATGGGCTGCACAGGTTGTCATGTCCGACTATCACAAGTGGAATCATAATGAAAAATACACCGGTAAAATGTGCCTGTAGAAAACGGCTTATGCCACAATAGGATAACAACAAGTAGTCAAGATAGTCTGTTTAGCTTCGGTTGCTATGCTAACATCACCCATTTTATACCAGAGAAACTTTCATAACAGTGTTGTGATGCCTAACAGCGGGCAGCACTGCAGCGGTCGGTAAATGCCGCTGAAACACATTAATAAACAATGAACCACGGCACTCTGGAGAAAAGTATAAGGGTTGAGAAGTAGTTATTTAATTTAATCTGCAGATTATATAAGCATTTAGTTCAAATGCGATTTAAAATGCTCTCAGGTTTTACACCTCTTATGAAATGTAGACTACATTTATTACGGAGTTTATGTCCGAGCCAACAGACTCACAGATCGTTGACTACTGAGAGATATTCAAAATACACCGCATAGTACGACACAAACCTCCGCTGTGGATTTTCAAAACAAAATACAGTAAAACTATGGTCGCAGGCCCAAGTTTAACTCTCTTACCCCATTCACACCAACGGTGTTTCAGGGCCGGTTCGGAGCTGGAGCTTGAAAAGCACCGGGTTTTCCTGTTCACACTGCAGCGGAGCAGCCTCTAAGCTCCGGAATCCGGTTCGTTTCGAGCACCAAAAAGTTGTCCGTCTAGAAGCAAGAACCGCATACGTCACGCTTACGTCGGAGGGGGGCGAGATTAACCTGAGCTAACAGTTAAGGCGAGTACGGCAAATAAAAGTTGTAACAAGCAGTAGCGCTGAGCAAAGTGACTAGAACGCAACCACACACTTGTAAAAAAAAAACACGCTTTATAAAGTCAGGCAACACTAACCAGGCTTCGTGTGATTCTGTTTATTTGTACCTTACTTTGACCATCCGTTCGCTGTTATTGGTCATTGTGGAGAGCAGGCAGACGTTTTGTTTGTTATTATAGCAGCTATCGGATGGAATCAATACATGGGCTGCACAGGTTGTCATGTCCGACTATCACAAGTAGAATCATAATGAAAAATACGCCGGTAAAAAGTGCCTGTAGAAAACGGCTTAGTCAGTTTAGCTTCGGTTGCTATGCTAACATCACCCATGTTATACCAGAGAAACTTTCATAACAGCGTTGTGATGCCAAACAGCGTCAATTCAGACTGACACACATTCACTTAAGGGGAACTGGGGATATGTATCAGCTGCTTGTGTGACAGTCAGACAGTGAATACTTTAGAGCCGTGTGAGCTAACCCGGAGCTAACGGGAGAATACACTCGTGGAAGAGCAGCCGGCACTGCAGCGGTCGGTAAATGCCGCTGAAACACATTAATAAACAATGAACCACGGCACTCTGGAGAAAAGTATAAGGTTGGAGAAGTCGTTATTTAATTTACTCTGGCTTCGTATGATTAAAAGCAACACGATCATCGACCCGACGCAGTCCCCGGCCCGTTGTTGTTGTGAGGTGAGCTCCGTTGGGGAGAAAATCAGCGACGTAAACTGTGACGTCATGACGCAGCAGCGGCAGCACCAGTCGGGCTCTGAGCGGTGTGAAAAGAGCCGGAGCTAAACCGAAGTACCGGTTCTGAACCTGAAAAGCTCTAGCACGGAGCTAGAACCGGAGTTGCGTTGGTGTGAAAGGGGCATCTGAGGTCTGCATGGTCTGCCTACAAAACAAAAATAAAAAAATGTTTATGCAGCCCCAACAACAGCCTCTGATCATCAACAGACTTCATGCAGTGCTTCATCGGATGCATATATTAGATAATAATCTCTATCTCACTCCTAAAACATCTAAATCTACTTCCAGCATGGATAAATGTTCATAAAATACATCCATTGTTTGTTCTATATGCTTCTTGAAATCCAAAAAAACACATCGTCTTTCTAGAACAGATTACAAATCGCCTGAAAATGGTACAAACAAGTGGCAACATGTTTGACGAAGGTGTTGCGCTGGGCTATATCATGCAATCGAAAGTGAAACTTAAGCTCGCTCCATTGCGGAGATATTCCTGCGAGAGGGCGCAAAACTTCAATTTGACAGGGGTCGCCAGTCTCTAGCACTGTTATTTTGGGGGTCGCGGGCTGAAAAGTTTGGTAACCCCTGCTCCATGGGACCTTATTTCGGAAAAATTATGTATTGAAGTCAATCGATCCTGTGTGAATTTTGCCACGAATTGCACATATGATGTTTGTCAATCTTAAAAAAATAATTTCCAAGTCTAATTTAACAATTCAAAAACTTTTTATTTGTGTCATAATTGCAGACAAAGTACTAACTCCTACAAAAAGCTCAGATCTTATGACACAATGTGCCTTTAGCTTGTATTAAGCTTGCTTCCTAAAGTGTTGAAAATCCTCTTCTCATCCGCCTCTCTGTTCCCTCCCCATGTGTCCCAGTGTTTTCTGAAGCCCCTCCAGCACCCCCACAGGACATCCAGGTAGATAACTGGCTGCTGAGATGGAGTCCTGACCCTGACGACGGAGATGTCACCTTCACCGCTCAATACAGCAGGTTCCTCCAACAGTGCAACATAAAGTAATATACATAAAAGAGGAAGTAAATGTGCAGTATAAAAGTGCAAGTGACACAATAATGCATGTAAAATGCAGGATTATTGATTATTTTTCCCTTCTGTAGAATTATACTTTTTCCACTAAATATCCATATATCTACTATTTATAGACAGATTTATTATTTGTTGTGAAACAGCTCACAGACAGTCTTTTTCTTAGTAGTTATCATGACAGTTGCATCATGACAGAACTAATGGTTTCTCCTGTTTCTTTTTCTCACCTTTGACAGCGGTGTGTGGACAGATGTTCCATACTGTGTCCATACATCTTTAAATTCCTGCAATGTCAGTTCCATCAAAGCTAGGAGTGAGTACGACTGTGTGATGCTGCGTGTGCGAGCAGAGAGGCATGGGAAGAACTCCACATCAGTCCAAGCCTGTAGCAAACATGGTAAGAGCACCACCTGCCATGTAAAGAGGGCGCTGTGGATCGTCATGATAGCATTGTTCACACTGGCTCAGTGGTGCGAACGACATATGTCGATATTAAATGGTGGCCTATTTTCTATACAATTCAAATGTTGGTAAGAGGGAAATATTTTCAGTGGACATTATGAATAACAGCAGACTTTAGCATGAAGAAATCCTTTCAATTCCCAAATACAGTAAACACTGATCTCTGTCTTGATTTTGTCAACACTCAACATGTTTATTGTGCTCTTCCAGGTCACCTCTGTACTCCGGACTTTAATCTCACTGCGAGGCCTGGCTCCCTCACTGTACATTTGAGTAGGAACACCCCTTTTCTTCGGGAACATGCCAACCATGCAAAGTACAGGGTTTACTATGGCAAGAAAGGAGAGGCCCTCCAGGTGAGGAACCTTGTCAGTTATGGCGTATTTCCACTACAGCGCGGTTTAAGCGTGCCGTGCCGTGCCGTGCCCGGCCCGTTTTTGGTTGCGTTTCCACTAGGCGTAGTTCCAGCTAGCAGGTACTTTTTCACAGTTTTTCTGGCTCTCCAAAATCGAGGTTCTTTCCGGGCCAACAACCGGGCTGAGTCGGGCTGAGTATTCTAAACTAGTGAGAGAATCGCTGGCAACTACAACAAAATTAACATATTTGACCGTGATTTAATTGTAATACACGTTTTTAAATGATGCCGAAGTAACAACATACTGATACCGGTTAGTAAAAACCATGAATTAATGCTTTGACAAGTCTGCAGACAGACGGCAGGCGAAAAACCTTTTAAAATGCATGTTTTCTGAATGGAGATCGGCTAAGCTAACGCAGTATATGCTCCGACCGTCCACACTCACAACAACGGCCTATACAGACATAAATAAAGCAGCGACTGTACTCGCCATGACACAGGCAGTCTGTGGTTTGTACTTGTTTAACTTTTGTCTAGTTTCTGAACAGATATGAGGAGCTGTGAGCTCTGAGGGCTAACAGCTAACGGCTGATGTTGGTTTTGTGTTTCGCATTGAAGATGACGTCACGGCTCCGCCTACACTGCATTACTATAGTTACTACCCCAGTTCTTAAACTGTAATGGAAACGCAGCATAAAGTGAGCCTGGCCTACCAAGGCCTAACTATACCGTACTAAGACTAGACACCTGCTTTTGCTACCTGTTTCACTTTGTAGGTCATCTAAGACTGTTTTCACACTAAGCTGGTTCATTTTCGAACTGCTGTTTAGGTGTTAACATTTTTGTGAAGAACTCCTTTTACACTAAATAAAAGGCTTAATCTCCTCTTCCTGTCGACAACAGCCAACATGAGATCAGCATTGGGAAGGACAGACTTGCTACTGTCTCTGCCATCACCTGCCTGTGTGCTGTGTTTTTAAGCCAATTTCACTATGTATGATGATTAGTGTTTGGTAGTGGCTCATAAATGCTAACCGTGTCAACAGCTCCATTGACTAATCATGATAATTAATGATTGAATACAAGGTAGACAGTTGACAGGAAAGGAAGGAAAACAGACTGAGAACAAAGGTGTGCAGCAATGGTCCACAGGTTGACATTGTGTTTCACAGTCAAGGCTTTGAATACCTAAATTATATTTTTCGTTTGTCAAGACATCCATCTTACTGGACAGAAGGCCAAAATGCAGAACCCTTTCCAATTTATCTGGCTCAGTATGAGTCTTAACACAATTCCTCCAATTCGTTTGGTTTTACTTAAGGGTACAACAGAGGGACTGCCTCCACATGGCGACTGCTGAGCCAGCTGTCGCCATGTGATAACAGTGATCACATGGTGATAACAGTGATAACAACAGCTAACAGTGCTATCAAAAGCGTATAGTGCTTGCAGTGCTAACAACAGCAACAGTGTTTACATGAGGGGGAACCGCACGCTTGCCACTACATTTATAGACGTTTTGAGCGAACCCACTGTTTGAGCACAGTGCAGAGCTTGCACTAACATGTGCTCACTGCGCTCAAATGTGCTAAAATGCTAAACTTACACTAACTTACACTAACTTACACTCGCATGCACTAACATGCACCACCCAAATGGATTAAGTACGGAGTGTGGCCTAACCCCTGGAAGGAAGCAGGTTTACCTCTTGTGTCGAGTTCCCTTCAGCAAGGCATTTCACTTCATTTTGTACAGAGTCCGGCAAACGCCATAATCATTTAATATGTTTATCAATGAAAATGATAACAAAAATGATCATTCTATCTTGTATCGCAAATATCAGTCATAGTAGAAATAAGTCATAGTCATAATAATGGCAATTATATATTTAATTACATTTGTTCATCACTAAGGGAAATATTGGCCTTGTATGTGTAAAATGCAGTGATATTATCCAAATGCTTTGCACTCTTATGCAGGATTATAAAGATGGTCTGGCCTCAGTGACCATTGATGAGCTGCAGGAGGGACAGCGGTACTGTACTAGGGTGCAGTACCTGTATCACAAAAACACCGTGGGACTACCCACCTGTACCCAGTGTGAGCTCATCCCCGAGTCAGGTAAGGACATGGTCGTTTTTCAGCCATGCAAAGCCAGTGTTCAGGCATTAAAGAAGCACATTGGCCACATTGCTTTGTTTGGCTTCTGCAGTTTTCCAAAAAAGTTCCCCCGTTTTTATGGTTGTGCAATTTCAGATGAACATTCCTTGCCATGGAAGCTGGTATTATTTTACAGATTTTTAAATATTCCGCTGAAATGTACTCCTTTTGAGTATCATATCATTATGTTGCCCCTTTCCCACCAAAACAGTTCCAGGGTCAGTTCGGAGCTAGTGCCCGATTAACCACCGGTTCTTCCTGTTTCCACCGCAGCAGGGCCGGCTCTCATCTGGCTACTTCGGAGGGGGCACCAGCGCTGAGCAAAGTGACTAGAGCCACACATACAAAACACACTTCTATAAAGCCAGTCAACACTAACCAGGCATAGTGTGATGCTGTTTGTTTTTACCTTACTTTTAATGACCATCTGTTCTCTGTTATTTCCCGTCTTGAAGATCAACACACTGCCTCATACGATTTCCTGTTGTTTTTTTATTATATCAGCGGGTGAAGTCAGTCACCCGCTGGCAGGCTACACAAGTTAAATCATAAAGAAAAATAAGCCGGTAAAATGTGCCTGTAGAAAACGGCTAATGCCACAATATGATAACAACCATCAGTCAATATAGTCACATTAGCTTAGGTTGCTATGCTAACATCACCTGTCTTATACCAGAGACACTTTAATAACAGCGTTGTGATGCCAAACAGCGTCAATTCAGACTGACACACATTCACTTATGAGGGGGGTGGGGGATACTATGAATACTTTCCAGCGGACGCTGCCGTGAATTAGCGGTAGACTAAACTCTGTCGTGAGTTAATGGTAGACTAAACTCTGCCGTGAGTTAACGGTAGACTAAACTATGGTCGGCACTGCAGCGGTCGGTAAATGCCGCTGAACCACATTAATAAACAATGAACCACGGCACTCTTGGAGAAAATTACAAGGGTTGAGAAGTCGTTATTTAATTTAATCTGGCTTTGTATGATTAAAAGCAACACGATCATCGCCCCGACGCAGAAATAAATCGGCAACGTAAACGGTGATGTCATGACGACGCAGCACCAGTCGGTCTCTGAGCGGTGGAAACACACCTGGGGCTAAAAAGAAGAACCGGTTCGGAACCAGAAACGCCCAGGCACGGAGCCTAAACTGGAACTGGTTTGATGGGAACGAGATAGAAATGTGGCTCTGAAACAGCAGTAGCTTGTGTTCACAGCAGGAACTTTCAAACACTCAATATATTCTCCACAACATATCTTAATCTGTGCTTGTAATTTATTGGCAATGCAACATGAAAATCCTCTTCTGTAATTTTAAAAGTGTGTGTGTGTGTGTGTGTGTGTGTGTGTGTGTGTGTGTGTGTGTGTGTGTGTGTGTGTGTGTGTGTGTGTGTGTGTGTGTGTGTGTGTGTGTGTGTGTGTGTGTGTGTGTGTGTGTGTGTGTGTGTGTGTGTGTGTGTGTGTGTGTGTGTGTGTGTGTGTGTGTGTGTGTGTGTGTGTGTGTGTGTGTGTGTGTGTGTGTGTGTGTGTGTGTGTGTGTGTGTGTGTGTGTGTGTGTGTGTGTGTGTGTGTGTGTGTGTGTGTGTGTGTGTGTGTGTGTGTGTGTGTGTGTGTGTGTAGACTCCAGACGGACAGTCACCATAGTCTCTTTGGTGCTTGTGGGCGTCCTGCTCCTTGTGTTTCCTGTGATAGCGTACTTCTTCCTCTTCCAGCGTGGGAGACTCAAACGTTGGTTGCAACCTCCATACACGTTCCGAGTACACGTAAGCTTAAACACAACCCCTCAATCACACTGTACACACTGTGTTTCAGACAGCGAATATACAATGCATACACAGCAAATCAACCAGCAGCTGGCTGACCTCTCTAATCGCAACTCATTGAAACTGATTGGCTGCCAGAGATTGACATCGGAGCTGTGTAAGAATTGCATTTTTCAATTTGTCAATTGGACTGAGAGCTGTTCTGTTCAGAAAACTACTCAGAAACCCCCCCACTGTCAGTTTCAGCAGGAACAGTTTGTTTGGCCGGTAAAGTTTCATGACGCTCTAATTATCCTAAAGGTAAAAAAAGGCATTGGGGTTTCGCATTATCACCATATATTTTCACATGAACACATTGGAACCACACCAGTCAGCTTTCCAGCCGTCTCTCCAGTCATACCCAATTTGTGAACTTCAAAGACCGTTTAGGGACCCCAGCATGCAGAAATACTAATTTTTTACCCCAAACAGGATAACAGAATGTGGGAATGTCTTTAAAGGGGAGTCTCCTGGGAATCCATAGAGCCATTTTCACTCGTACCCTTTTCCCACCAAATCAGTTCCAGTTTAGGCTCCGTGCCTGGGCGTTTCTGGTTCCGAACCGGTTCTTCTTTTTAGCCCCAGGTGTGTTTCCACCGCTCAGAGCCCGACTGGTGCTGCGTCGTCATGACATCACCGTTTACGTCGATGATCGTGTTGCTATTAATCGTAGAAAGCCAGATTAAATTAAAGAACTACTTTTCAACCCTTACACTTCTCTCCAGAGTGCCGTGGTTAATTGTTTATTAATGTGGTTCAGCAGCATTTACCAACTGCTGCAGTGCTGCTCGTCCACCGGAGTTTAGTCTACCATTTAGTAGTCTACCGTTTAGTCTACCGTTTAGTCCGTTAACTCAAGGTAGCGTCCGCTGTAAAGTATTCACTGTCTGACTGTCACACAGCAGCTGATAAATATCCCCCTAGTCTAGTCACTTTGCTCAGCACCCCTGGCCCGCCTCAGACATAAGCGCGACGTATTTTATCTATTTATATCTTGGTTCTTGGCGGGCAGTCGAGTGGGGCCAGATAAGAACGGGGCTGCTGCGGTGGAAACAGAAAGAACCGGTGCTTAATCGGGTACTAGCTCCGAACTGACCCTGGAACTGCTTTAGTGGGAAAGGGGCATCACAGATCTTGAGGTGAGGGGTGAATATGGCCTGTTTACCCTCACCGATACATTTCTTAGGTTTTATACCTTCATATGATGCCACTATCTCCACAATAACCTTGTTTTTTCTTTTCTTCTAGTTACTCGAGCCAATTCTTGAGCCCTTCCTTCCCATCCACAGCAGCACTGAAGAGCACTATGATGTCATTACTTCCATGTCCCCAGTAGAGCTCAGAGAATGAAACTGTTTCTGCACAACTCTTCCTCTAAGTGGCCTTCTTATTTTGTTGTGTGGCGATTAGACCTGAACACTGAGTAAACAAGCTCCCCACTATTACAATCCACCTTAATTCTCTCTTCAATGTGGCTTCAAGAATTGTAGGGAATTACAGACATAAGGACTTACTGGTAGCATTTCTGAACCTTGGAATGAGCATCCATCTTTTTTTAAATACCAACAGGAGAGAGCTGTTTATTCCTTAAAGCAGAAACAATTGAGTGATCATCTTAATTCTGGAAGAATACTAAACCTTACTCTGGCCCCTCCTGGACATGAGACACAAAGGCTGGGTTTCTGTTGAATGTCTACCAGCGTACATTTTCTGATCATGTTGCTTTTGTCTGATGCCCTTTCTTGGTCAGCATCAAGTACTTTCTTTACTAATCTCAGCATTGCCAAGAGTGATTTTTACTTTTTGATCTTTATGTGTATGATGCTTAACTTTACTGACTCGCAATAAATGACTTAATGTAAAGCGTAGAAAACATTGTGATTCCAGTCTCATCTGGTTGGTGACGTCCCGTTCATGTGACTTCTCTGCCTCTGCTGATCATTCACACCACACTGTCCACAGCTTTCATACTTCTAAAGGAGAAAGCTCCTGAGGACTGTCTGATTAACTGGTACACAGTTTCTGAAAGGACCCATTGTATTTACATAAAAACTTTAAGCACCAGAAACAAACGTCTAGTCCGGTCCATTGTGCTGCAGACTGCTATCAGATAACAGCAACACGCCATGCCACTGACTGAAGGTAATGAGAAAAAAAGCATGGTACCATCTGTAGCTTACTTTCACAGATAATACCACATCTACTATGTTGACAAAGACTGCTACACACACTTGTTCTTTTGTTGCATATAATTCGTAATATGTATGGAATTAATCCTAGTACAAAGTAAAGATCCACCTTTAGAGCGTTCCATGATGTCAGTCACACACCCGCCTCTTCTGAGATAGATGTGTTGGTAGAGAGAGGGGCTTTGCATGTACTTGTATAATCTTCATGGTTCTAGTGAATTGGCTACATATGAAAGCTAAATGTTTTCACAGCACCACTGTGTGATTTATTAGATCTTTGTCTTGTATAAAATTGTAATTTGCTTTGATTTACTTGAAATATGGTGTGGTGTGTGTCAGTGAAGTAGACTCATCCTTCGGGTATCTTGAATACTGGCTCTAGCTCTTTGTCTCTGGACTAAGGTGAATGAAGGTCGGTCCACGTGAAGCTGATGAGCAGAGGAGGAGCTGTTGTCACCACAGTGCCGACATGCTCATTCTAAATAGTATATAATAATATAATATATTCATCTCGGATGCATTGGGCTGAAAGCATAACATAATGGCTGCTTCACATTCAGCTCACAACAGAAGCCTTCATGCAGCGCCTGGATTCATTATTCATCTTCATTCTATGCAGGAGCCACTGAACCAGCTACTCTGTGTGAGTGCTATCACACTCACAATTAAAACGAATGAATGTCGTGTAATTAACAAGGACAAACTGATGTTTTTTAGTTGAGTACATGCAGATATCACTGTAAAATCAATCAACAGTGACGAGATTACTCATTTACGGCTGTATGAAGCCAGAGCTGCGTACCTAGCAACCACGTTACTATGAAAACGCAGACACCGGAAATACTGTTTTCACTCCGAGAGATGACAATAGGCTTATTTGAGACGAGCTGCGGCTCGCCTCGAAAGTAGACGAGAATAGCCGATCGCAGCCGGGGGAGGTCTCAAAAAGCTCGCCTGAAGTCGGACAGCTCGGAGTCGGCTTCTTCCTCTTCTTCTTCTCTCGGTTTTTTGGCGGATTGCAAACAACTTTAAGGTGCATACTGCCACCTCCGGAGTCGGCTTGACTCGGTTTGCATTTATGAAGAATGCACAAATGTGTTTAATCGTTAATGTCAAATATGTACTAAGTAAATACATTTGTTCCTGCTCAAGATTAGATTCAACTTTATTGTTATTGCACAGATTACAGGTACTGAGACAACGAAATGCAGTTTAGCTTCTAACCAGGAGTGCATAAAGCAGTAAAGTGAAAAGTAATGTACACAATCTACAGAATAAAATATAGAATTAATTGAATGATGAAAAAACAGTGAGGGGTATGAATACACTATATACACAGTAGCCTAGCCTAGTATGAACAGTGTGTATGAATATGCTAAGATATATAAAGTATGAAAACGGTAAGCAGTGCAAGTATAGTATACAAATATATAGATATTAATTTCATGATGATAAACATTGTGGAAAAATGTGAATGGAAGTGGCGATGTAAAACTGACACAAAACAACAACAAACTTTTGCCGAGCCAATGGAGAGTTTCATCACCAGCACGGGGTAAAAACCACCAATGAGCGCTCAGCTCGAGATACCAGCGAGGCTGCGTCTCAGGCAAGCCCCCAGGAAGTGCGCCGGACTCTGATGAAAATATTCGTGCTGGCCAAACGGCGGTACTACACTTCCTTTTGGTTGCCAGGCCCGGAAACACTTTTTCCCATTGACTTACATGGGGAAAGAGTGGTCTGTAAATCGTTGGATAATTTTTTTTAAACTAAATAAACTACCCAGTATGAACACTTGTATAGCCCTTATTAAAAACATTCGTTCCTCAAGTTGTAAAATGTGCTAATAACGTTCTTCTGAGAGTTATTTCCCTCTGCATTATGAACGCGCATCTAACCCACGGGACCGCGCCGCCCGGCACGTTCATGTTACGTGTTCAGCACTACATGAGTTTATCTTTACCCATGGATGCACAATAAGAACGGACCCATATCGCCTTACTGCCAGCCCACGGAGCTGTAATAATGGATATATTGCACATGTTTGCTGTAATTCATCATTTGTAAAATATTATACTACATGAGCTGTATGATTAAATCTTGTACCGTAAATGTTGTATTAAATAAAGTTAATATTACCGACGTAGATTAACGTCCCTGTAGCTTCTTATTGCACTAAGAAGCTTATTGCACTGTGTATATATATATATATATATATATACAGTGCAATAATTCTTTCATGCTAAATGAAGCTCTGTTGCTTGGATATCACTAGATCCTGTTACAGCGTAATATAAAAGTACATAACGATTGATGTTTAAATTAGCATAATTACTAGCTAACCGCTAGCTGCTAACTGCCGCCTCGTTAATATCAAATCTATCATAACAAACATTACCATGCTGTCATGAACGTGCGGTGTTGTTACGTGTACGCAAATTGACGTGCTTGATGTGAACGAGCATTTTGGGGGGGCATGGTTAAAGTTGCGCATGCGCTATGAGCGCACATACGGGTACTTCTCAGGCATGCCGGGTAATCTGTGACGTTTCGCTCTCTCAAAAGTTGGGCCATTTTATCATCATGCGCGAATGAGCAACTCTCATAGGAATGAATGAGGCCCCGCCTCCCACGCTGTATCCAGTTCTTATTATACATCCATGGTCTCAGGTCGGTTATTTTCATTTCCTCGCTCGTCGGTCCTCGGTATCACCGGAAGTTGATTTGTCTGCGCCATCTTGAGTAGCGTCCCATGGCGCTTATATCTACCGGAGGAGCGAGGAGCGATAATAGAGTGGCGAAGTCCCTCCCCTTCCGGTGGACCTCCATGGGACCTTATTTCGGAAAAATGATGTATTGAAGTCAATGGAGAGAGAAAGATTATCTTTCGATCCCGTTTGAATTGTGCCACGAATTACACATATGATGTGTGTCAATTTAAAAGATAATTTTGCAAGTCAAAAAAAAAAATGTGTCGTAAAACTGTGAAGTAACACATTTGTTTGTGTGAAACGCTCAATGAACTACATCTCTGGTCTCACAGAACAACACACGTCACCAAGATGGCCGTCACTACTGTCAACAAAACGATTGACTATCCTCACTATCACCACAATGAAACACGTCCTGAAGAATGTCATGCAAAGCTGCCTGCCTGCCTTCCTTTGATTCTCTCTGAACTGCCTGGTCGTTTTAATGTTTAATGTCAACCATTTGTGCAGATAGCATGAAGTAGAGAAGATCGCTAGCGTTAGCGTTAGCATTTCTCCCCCGGGCTTAAATTGTGTATTATAGAATGAGCACACCAGTGACAGTACTATTCAAAGGGTTCACGAAATATGACTACTACTCTTACTGTTTAACATTTTGGGTTACTTCATGTTACTTCATGTTAAGGCTAATAAAAATGACACGGCTGTAATGCTAACTAACGTGCTAGCTACTAGCTAGCTTGATCCAGACACTCCTAGTCCTTTCATCAGACGGGAAGCGAAAGAATGAGCAAGACCCATTGCTGGTATGATATCAACCTGGTACTAAGCACACAGGCATCTTGTTAAAGTTATCTTATCTTAGCCAGCGCCATATAGATAGATTATATCTATATGGCGCTGATCTTAGCTATCTCTTAGTGGAGGAAAACAATTGTGACATCACTTACGCGACTCTGGGATTTGTAGTCTTTCTAGTTGCGTATTTTTCATAGTCTTATATTTCAACAGTTTTACGACAAACTGTGACTTTTTTGACATGGAAATTATTTTTTAAGATTGACAAACATCACATGTGTAATTCATGGCACAATTCAAACGGGATCGAAAGATAAGTTTTCTCTCTCCATTGACTTCAATGCATAATTTTTCCGAAATAAGGTCCCATGGGGCGGAAGTAGATGGGCGTGACTTCGCCACTCTATGGAGGAGCGATAACCGAGGAACCACCAGACCATCCTCCGGTGAAATCCTCAGATACTCTCCCCGCCCCCTTACTGTGTATCGCTCACTGATTGGACGATGCAGCGCATGCACTGATCTGTTGCTTCTTGACATGAGAGCAGTTTCCCAGCGGAGTGAAGAAAACACATGAAACTCACAGGACTCACTCCTCAGTTTATACTGTGTTTTGTGTCAATGAATGCATCATTCAGTTACAAATATGTGATATATCTGAACAACAAAGTGGTCAAAAATCATTTTATTCATTTATTGGAAACATTTTCATGATCGCTTTTTCGTTTTACATTTTCATTTATTGTCATTTCCATTCAGTCAGTCATTAAGTGCTATTTAAAATGTTCATTTGCTACACATCCACACAAACAAACAAAGTGTGCAATCCAATGAATGTTAATCTAACTGGGTTTTGATAGATAACATATCTCTTTTTCTTCTCTTTCACTTTCAAACCTTTATTTATCCAGGTTGTATCCCATTGAGATCATTGACCTCTTTTTCAAGGGAGACCTGCTCAAGTAGGTTCCACATGAAACATTAAAAACATAAACAGAACAACAAAAGGACATCATACATTAGCATTACAGGGATTACAATTTACATAACTATCCACATGCACAGGTACCAACAGCTTCCGATTGAGTAGCATCCAACCGAGCTTTAAAAACATTTAGTGGCAACAGATTGCTCAGTTTCCATTTTAATTGCAGACTATTCCAGGACAGTGGAGCTGCGCATC